TTCTTACATCCCCCTGACTCGGTTTTTAGTATTTTTTTGCTATGTACAGACTTTCGACCTCCACAGTTTTATTAGATGCATAGATTTTAAAGCATGTGTTTATATGTTTATTGGGTTGTTCGACTTAATTGATGAAGAACAGAAAGATTTCCCGATGGGCAATTGAATGCTATACAATTGCTATATGGTATATTTAGTATTTTCTGTCTTGTTAAAGATATTTATTCAAAAAGTACTTATTTATAAGTTTGTGTAATATGTTATAAGATTATTAAAATTTTAGATGTCTATAAACCAATGTCTTAACTATAATAATAATAACTGCAGTTTAAAGTTGGTTTGTGTGAAACGATACAACCTTTACTGACTTTGTGCGCGATTGTACTTGTGTTGTTTTATTTACTCGATACACATTACACGTATCTATCTTAATAGTAAAATGATATGGAATTACGAAGCGCATCGCATATCAGTGGTTGATTAATCTCTCATTTAGCAAACATCACTGACGTACATAAGTGTATAAACATATGTATTTCCACTGATATCTTTGTCGAATAAAAAAAGAAAGACACATGCATTATAATTTATAAGATAACGTTAAAAGTATTATTTAGAAAATATAGTTTTTATTTAATAAAAATAGGTGAAGCTTAAATATCTCTGAGTTTAAACACTAAAGGAATTCCCTAAGATGAACCGTAGCTACATATTGAAAATCCTTTGGGAAATTTGTTTGATTATTTGAAGTACTAATAGTTTTTGATCCGTGTGCACCTACGAGTATATTATGGAATTTTGAAGTTTATTCTTGTAGTAATAGTAATACATTGAGCTAACATTTCTAATCTCAATTCTCATTCATTATTTGCACGAGTAATACTTATTAGCCTATACGTAGGGCGTTCGTTATACCGTGAGAATGAGATATAAAGTATAAACTCTTTGGAACCAAAAAAAGTTAACACTGGCTGCTAAAGCCGGAACATTGACTACATTTAAAAAAAGGAAAGAATTTGAATATCTTTTGTTTTTTAATCCACGATGCGAAAACGCCGGGCTAATATAGGTAAGTTTAACGTGTGTGCGTGTGTGTGTCTGTCGGTGTGGCATTATAGCTTCCGAACTTATGAACCGATTTAGATTTTATTTTTTTTTTTGTTTGAAAGGTGAATTATTCGTAAGTGTCCTTAGCTCTGTTTGATGAGAATTGGCCCAAGATGGTCGGGGATTTTTTAATTCTTAATTTATAAAAATGAAAGTCTTTTGTTTACAGACTGCAAACAAAAGACTTTCATTTTCGTAGCGTGTTGTCGAAAATAAAAAGAATATGAATTGCGCGCATTTACTATGCTTGAAAAATTTAGCTACGGGACGAATTAATTGACACATTATATTATCCATACAGGATATTCTACAGTTGTAATTTGGTGTGCTGAATTTTAACATGGAAGATCCACCATATATGATCCTCTCGGGCTGCCCCACAGCGGTAGTGACCGAACAAATTGTCAAAAAAGTAAAAAAAATTGTTAAAGCAGATCGTCGTCACGGTCACGGTTTTATAGCCAAAGAAACAAAGATTTCGACTGATAGTTTGCATAGCATTTTACACGAACGCTTGGGGATAAAAAGCACTACCCAGTGCGCCCCATAATGCTTACCGATGCACAAAAACAAACCAGGCTGAATATTTCTCGTACTTATGTGGAACTGTTACAACAAGTTCCAAAGAAGAAATTCGCGAGAAAAGGTAAGGCAAACTGCAAAAATTATTTTGTTTCATCAAGATAACGCCCCGGCTCACAGATCCGCCGCTATGGTTGCTATTCGAGATGCTGGCTCCGAAATATGTATTTCATGCAGGATGCTCAAGTGGCAATCCTCCATATTCGCCCGGCCTTGCCCCTAGTGATTTCTATGTATTTCCAAGGTTGTAGGAATCCCCGAATGATGAATCTGTAGTCGCTGCAGTACAGGAATTTTTAGGTGCTTAGGATAAAGAGTCTATAAGCTTATAAAAACGATATTCCAATTGTATTATGCTAAAAAGGCGACTGTATCGAAAAACAAAATAACATTTATTGAACGCCCCTCGTACTCGTATAAATATATTATGTAGTTATATTTTGGAATATTTGTATTTCATTAGATATTGAATGAATATTTATTTTGGAGTTTTTATAAAACCAATAATTATACTTTTTATTATACGTCTACATGAAATTTAAGGCATTTCTTATTTGAACAATATAAACCCTTAAGCTTTCTATCTTGCGCTGAGAAAGCTCTGAAGAATTTTAGTTTAACTCTAGTGCACGGAAAAGAATCGTTCTATTTTAAAATCTAAAATATCATAACGGTGCTCGCATTGGAGTATTGCCAAACGCTTCGAACACAATATGCCTAGGTGTTACAGAATGTGATTCATGTAGAATGACCATAGTTTTGGAACCCAACACGCAATGAACATTTTTTTAACACGTGTTACCAGCAATATCGCAGAACAGGCGAGGTACATAAATATTACGATCCTTGATATTGTAGAGATAGTCATACGATGTAAGAATTTTTGTCGTGTTATTACACTTGTATAATTTTTATATATTTACTTTATGTGAGGGCATTACGCAGGTATACTATTACACTCGTTTCGTGTTTATTTATTATGACCCGTGATGGCCGCGGAGACGGTGCGTTTGTTGCGTTTTTATTATTATTATAGAAACATCTCAGTAAATACATATAAAACGTTAGGTAACTCAAAACGTAAATTAATTCAAATTTGTAAAGTCAATTTCGGGTGTCATACTAAAAAATTGTAAAAGATGGTAGTAGTTATAAAACTGATAGCCATTGTTTTAGACGAGGCAGAAAGAGAATAATATTAGTCGATCACGATGTTACTAAGTTCACGCTGTTTTAAGAAATATATAATTTAAAAGAAAATATTATCACTAGAAGACAAGCGACAACACGTTTATAACGGGCTTAGAACGGTCATCTACGCAGTTATAACCCGTATGTTCACCGTTTCGTCGCTCGACCGCGCGCACCGGTTCGGCACTGGCAAAATATTCTTGCCGACAATTATTGTTAACTTTCCATGCACCGCACGCGACGTGTTGGTTGGTGACGGAAAGGCCTTGGTCGGTGATGGAACGGTCTAGTGGGCATAGTCTCATACTTTTCAATACAAAGAATATTTTTTTGCCTGACACGGTCCTGTTATGGTCCTAGCACGGTCATAGTATGAGACGGTATAGTGGGCAGAGACCTTTAATTTAATTAAATAATGTCTATATAATTCATTAAATTTATTCTGTTTTTATTTCATAGTTTTTATATGTCAAAATAATAATAAAAGATTACCTTGATTGTTAAAAGTGTATAGTATATTCTAACGTAAATTATGGTAGGCAAGTAGTCAAATACCAATACCTACACAAGGGTTGCTAAGTTTATATCTGTTTGATAATTATCGGATAATTATCTTGATAATTATCGCAATAATTATCAAAAGTTATATTTATCTTGATAATTTCATACCCTGCTATAAATACATAGCGACGAACCCGAGTGAAGCGAGAGTGAGTCGGTGTATAACATATTTTTTTTGTAAATTGAACGCGGGCGAAGCCGAGAGTACTGCTAGTGTTACTAATAAAAAGACGCAAATTTTATGTGTCGTCGCGTGAAAAACAAATATAGTTTATATTATCATATAGATAATTGTACTAAAGTGTGTAGGTAAATAGCTAATAAAACTTTTGATTTAGTTTTCAATAGCGGCATAGATTCTCAAATATATGTACCTATCATTCGGTCACAGTTCAGCACAACATATTAAGTAGCTTAATAATATGATCACCATCTTTTACTTATAAAAACGCTGTATACTATAAAATATTTATTACAAGCGACTTATCCTCGTTTCATCCCTGGGTGATTTTTATACAGTCTAATTTTTTTTACACAGATATAGGTACTATGCCCTAAAGTACCATAATAATAGGCTACTACAAACATAGGAGCAAAGCAAGCGTAAGTCGTTAGTATTGTGTAAAGGCCACCGTGTGGAAAATTTGATCACGAAAACCTATATTTAAATTTTTATGTATATTTAGTAAAAAGTAAGATAATTATTATAAATATGTACATTATTAATAATTTAAATAATTTTGTGTTAACAAATTAATAAAATAAATAATAAATATTCTGATGACGTCAATTGGTGGATCTTCCCTTTAACTAGCATGCATCGCGTTCATGGCGGCGCGGCATCACCCGCGTGGCCGGTGACTTCTTGTAACATGTGCGCTTATCAAGTATGCTATTGTACTGATACTTGATAGTATGAATACTTTTGTTTTCATTGGTCGCACCGAGGGCGTGCGCGCCGCCGCCTGCCTGTATATAATAACTCGTCTTCTTTATTACATCACTACTTGCTCAAGCGCCGCACGTGTCGCTTTATCATTTTATATTAACTTATCTGTTTTACTATATTCACACGACCTTACTATATTTGTATACCGTTTTCTAATTATAAACTTCTAAGGTAAGAAACTAGGTATAATTGTATCATATTATAATTTATAATAATCATTTCATGAGTAGAGAGGCAAGTGCTAAGTAAGGGTAGAGGTAAATATGTTCCTTGATGTGAAGCTTCTTTCCAAATATGTTACTGAAAGAAATATTTTGTGTTTTATAAAGCTACCTACATTTTATTTATTACTATATTTCTATAAATAATCTATAAATTAATATGATTTATGATTTTATCCCGAAAAGGATATGACAGAAAAGCTGTAACGTTTTCATTTATACATATTAGAAGTCATAATTCAAAATACAAATAATATTAAATTAAATTGTATGATGTTAATTAGATGATTTATCGGTTTTATTTACAAATTTATTCATCAAGTATATACCTAATTAGTTCAATGTATTGATACCCAGATTCGATTTAGAAAATGGCGTACCAGCAGTCAATGCCCAAATCAGAAACCATTAAGCTGCGAGAAAAACACATTGGGTAAGTTTAATAGGAATTTAAATTCTTATATGTAACTACATATTAGATTCCTTGATAATAGGTACCTACTCTTAAAATATAATTGATTAATAGATTCTTTCAAACGTCGCATTTACAAAAGGTAATAAATAAAGTAAGCCTAACATTTATCAAGGCCGGTCTATCAGTATTAATTGCTTGTTCTGCTACGGTACAGAAACTGGGTGGAGATCTGAAACAGTAAATTTGTTCCAGCGCCGCCTGCCAGTTGTTTTTCCGTTCGTCTCCATTAAAAATAGTGCGAGGTATAGCCCAATTTATGTATGACGAGACGGGTGAGAGATACCTCGACTGTATCAACAACGTGGCACACGGTTAGTAGATTCTAAGGCCGTGCGCACTTTGGACACGAATTTTGATGATACGTACGATCGTGGTCGTACGAATTAAGTGCGCACATTGAATACGTTTTTCTCCGTCAAATAGGTAGTTTTCCGGTGATATCGCACTCGTGAAGTCCTCTTTGGAGCGCGATGAATAATCTGTATCTTCAAGGTAATTCTCTTATATTAACTCGGAGACTGCGGCAACGTCTTCGCTATCGTAGAACCGAATGGATGCGTGAAATATATTCAAAAATACGTAATTTCGGTGAATTCCATCATATTATGGAAGACTCATATAATAACCACATACTGTTTCATGGTTATGCACGTATGAAGAAACAAACATTTATGTTCATAAACTAAGTTTATAAATTTTTCTACGCCCATTTTTAATTTTTAACGCACGAAAGCGTATTAAAATCCCAACAAGTTCGGATGTATTCGGACGTCGGAACTACACGCGCGTATACGTACGACTAACTCGCACGCAGTCTGCGCGCCCCCATAGTACTTGAAAGGTGCGGATCATTCGTGTGTGTTCGTGCGTGTTCGTACGTGTTCGTACGAAAACGTATCCAAAGTGCGCGCGGCCTAAGACTATATGCTCTGTACGTAATTAGGGATGGTGTTTATAAATAACTATTAAAAAATCCAATTATAAATATTTATCAGACGTTGACAGTAAGTATACCTACCTAATTAAATATGTAAGTAAAATGTAAATAAACAAGGTCTTCCTTATCTTACAGGTAGGTACGTACATAAATTTTATGTACATTTTCTAGTCTATTTATTTTTAAGCTAATTAAGAATTTTATTTGCTATTTAAGAACAAACATACATAATATATTTCTAACTTATTATCGCTCTATTACGACTCAACGGATTTAAGTGAAATTTAAAATGGAGATAACTTATTCTGGATTAATACATAGGGTAAGTACATTACAACGTCGCGCCTTCCTCTGACAAAGACAAGTATGCTAATATGTATATATAATACTAGCATTGCCCGCGGCTCCGCCCGGTTTCAGATAACCAAAAACCAAATTCTTACGTTCTACATATTAGTATACATACTCTTACATTGAAGTTTTTGTATTTTTTTCTCAGAAATGAGACCTTTCCCCGCGGTAAAAAATATCCTATATGTTGACCTAGCTATCATCATACCAAATTTCATCAAACTCCCTCCAGTGGTATTTCTGTGATGCGGTAACAGACAGCAGACAGACAAAAATTCTAAAAACTATAGATTCGACCTCTGTATCGATAGTAATGTTTATTTCAATAAGATTTTCCAAAAAATATTTAATGTACAGGTTCGGCTTAGTTACAATTTTATTATATGTATAGATATAAAATAAACTACGAATTTTCAGTGGGACATTGCCACCCGCACGTAGTGGAAGCTGGAAGAAACCAGATTTCTAAAGATAATATCGACTAACAATCGTTATCTCCATGATGAGCTCGTCATTCTTGCAGAGAGGCTCGTGAAGACTATGCCCGAGTCACTTTCCGTTTGTTTTTTTGTCAACTCGGGATCTGAGGCCAATGATCTAGCCTTAAGATTAGCTCAAGTTCATACTAAGAAGAAAGATGTCATCACACTCGACCAGTAAGTATTTATAATTTTAATCTTTTTTTCTTCTTCCTGAAGTATATGAATGGTACGAATATCTTCTTTTGATAATAGAACTGGAATAGGTATATTTTGATACATTATTACATTGTGAAAGTCAGTGAACTATTTCAATTGTGTAATAGATACTTCTTTGTTTAAGCATATTTGTTTTTTTTTTAATTAATATATAATGTTCGAACTATTTAACGTATCAATTTTAACGTATTTGGAGCACAAGTATTTTAAACCGAGTTAAGTTTCTTGGTATATATTTTAAACAAATGATAATTTTAAAAACCTGGAACTATAAATGTTATGGGTGAGGAATGTATGAGTATATAGGGTAGAGTGTTTTGAGGGTGCTACTAGCGCCTGTTTGTTACAGTGCATATCATGGACACCTTACGTCTATGATTGATGTATCTCCATACAAACTAAACCTACCCGGAGGGCCAGACAAGCCAGATTGGGTTCATGTGGTGAGTTCGCCATATACCTTCCGAACGGGTTCTGGGATGACAATTTAGTATAAGTTACCGTCACATTTTTATATTTGATACAAATAACAATCAGGTAAATTCGTACCTAACATTAACATTAGCCTCAGCCCTGTAAGGCTAACACGGAAATGCTAACTACAAGTGAAAGGTCAATTTGTATTAGCATTATTAGTTTCGCCGATATAGGGCACAGAATATAACAGAAATTTATGTCTGCGTTTATTACAAGTGAATTCCATTTTCTTGCGATACGTACGTAAGAAAATAATATTATGTTTGATGAAAGTTTATACGTCCACCCGCGCTATATCCGACGACATATTTTTTTATTTTTACATACAGGCGTTTGCTTCTTTTTCAACATTAATATAAATCAACAAAATAAAGGAACATATTTTCTTAGAAATGTGACAATAATGAAACAATATATTTTCTTTTCTTATTAGGCACCGGTTCCAGATGTATATCGAGGTAAATATACGTATCCAAAAGATTCTTCATCAGAAGAGGAGCTAGGAAGTATGTATGCAGAAGAAGTTGGCATCATTTGTGAAAGAGTTAAGAGAGAAAAAGGCGGTGTTTGCGCTTTTATAGCAGAGAGCCTTCAGAGCTGTGGAGGTCAAATTATTCCTCCGAAAGGCTATTTTAAGCGTGTGTACGAGTAAGTATTTGCAATATCAAACTAAGCGTTTTAATAGTAAATAACAATAATATAAAAAATAATAATTTATACATTTTCATATTAAAATTGCGCATGAGACGTTTATTCTTGAAGTAAATTTATTGTCAGTTTTATAAAATTACTAATTTTATCATTATTTGTTTACCATATATTTACCTGTATAATTATATCTAAGTATATGTTTTTCTTTTGTGGCGATTATTACTTTAAATATCATTTATAATTTTAATATTTATATCATAATAGATATGTGAGAGAGGCGAATGGGTTGTGTATTGCTGATGAAGTGCAAGTTGGTTTCGGCCGAGTGGGCTCCCACATGTGGGCCTTTGAAGCACAAGACGTCGCGCCGGACATTGTCACGATGGGCAAGCCGATGGGCAACGGCCATCCGGTCGCTGCCGTCGTCACTACTCAAGAGATCGCAAAAAGTTTTGCCGACACTGGTGTGGAGTATTTTAATACGGTAAGTTGAATTTATATTGATAATTGCTTTCGTAGCCTTCTATACAGGAGACTTGTACAACAATTTTTAAATGGGATGTTTTAATGATCGAAAATTAAAATTATAGGTAGGTATGTAGATTGTAGATAATTTTTAAAAATTGAAATTCTAATGAAATATACCTATAAAAATCACCCATGAACTAAGTCTTACGACTGAAGCTCAATTTCAATATAATCCTACTAGACTAATATTGGAGTAGTTTGACAAAACTTTTTTAATATATTTGACAAGTTACGGAAAAGTTTTAGAGTCGCTTTATTTCGGAACGCGCGCGGAAACCTACCTACGTAACTTAAAATTTAATTAATTTTAAAGCCCAGAAAAAGGACGCACAAAATCTAAGTCCTTCAGTATATACTTACCTATACCTATTAGTACATACTATGCGTATTAGTCAACGTCGATTTGACAATTGAAGATATTTTTAAGTTTGTTCGTTATGATATTTAATAATTAAACACCTATTTAATAATTACAGTATGGTGGTAATCCAGTATCCTGCGCTATCGCAAACGCCGTTCTAGACGTAATAGAAGAGGAAGGTCTCGTGGAGCGCGCGCGTAGAGTCGGCCGTTATCTTCTCACGCGATGCGAAGGTTTGAAACGTAAACATGAGCTTGTCGGTGACGCGCGCGGGAAGGGACTTTTTGTTGGAGTGGAACTGGTAACTGACAGGGAGACCAGGACACCGGCTACGGCTGAGGCCGAACATATCGTAAATAGGTAAATATTTTTTCTTTTGGAAAAATGGCGGTAAATGCTAATTGAAATAAAGAAATTTTAATAGCAATTAGTAAAAGGTTTATTTTTAAAGTATTTTTCTTTGACTTATACTGTTTTGCTGAAGTGAAACTTCTTTAGACTCGTTCATTACAGAAAATAGAAATGCAACACTATTTATGATTTAAGCCGGCGAGAGAATGAGATTGAATTCATTGCCATGTTGCCATGGTAACACATGGTAGAATACATTACACGGGAAGTGAAAAATAATAAAATTAATTACTGAATAGCATGTAATGTATATTTATGTCAAATAAAATGTAAAATAACTTTTAAAGTTGATAAAAATATTATAAAAAAATAAACCTTATAATTATCCTACTCCTGATAACTTTATATTCATCTCATTATGTCATAGGTCACTTAAACTTTTCTGAAGTTTCATTTCTACCAATAGTGTGAATTATAAGAAAAGACAGCCAATTTTTTACCATCCATAATAAATATTAATTAAAAAACAATTAATATATTTTTTTAGGATGAGAGAAGAAAAAATTTTGATCAGCCGAGATGGACCAGACAATAATGTGTTGAAATTTAAGCCTCCCATGGTTTTTACTTCCACAGATGTAGACAGATTAGTGGACACTCTTGACAGAATTCTGTATGAACTGGATGAGAGTACTAAACCAGTGAATGTTAAGTTAGAGGTACTTCAAAATTTCTTTTATTTTACTATTGAATTATTATGCAAATTTAAAATAATATTTTGTTACTATATTTTTACCATTTTCTTCAGGTCTTGGTAACCCCTATCAGTGATGGAGTGCAAAGCAATGACTTAAAATTGAAAAACAGCATACAACAACATATAAAGTCTGTGTGATTATAACCTGATCAGAAATCTCAAAGTATTATTGAATAAGTTTGTAAATATATTTTGTAATTACTATACTATATTAATTAAGTAAAGTTAACAATAATTGGTTAAATAAAAGGTGTTTATAGTAGAAAAGATGTATTTATTTAAAGCCATAGAGTATAATCACATGTTTTACTAACATACAAAATGCATGTTAACGAAAGGTATACCTTTAGATAGCCATAATCGAAGATCTTAAAATATAACTATACCTATTGGATCTGGCTTATTGACATTTTTATATAAACTGTCACAATTCTCCAAAGTGACTAATTCTGTCCTCTTACATTTAATATACAGCATTTTTGTTTTCTTTTGAATTTGACTGAGCTGATGTTCTAAAGAGTCTGGACAACATGGACACTTTTTGAAGTTTGCAGTATGCTCACCTCCACAATTGGCACACTTTGGGGGTTCCTCGCTGGCATTTCTCTCACATTTTTTTGATAAATGACCTCCAGCACATTTTACACACTTCACTTGGCCATGGCAATATCTTTGAGTGTGACCCCACATTTGGCAACGGTGACATTGTTTTGTTTTATTATCTGGTGGTTCCAACTTTACATCAAAACCTAATACCTTTTTAACTTTCAAAAGTTTTTTTCCATCCTCATTATGTGGTACCACTGCTAATATAAGAGATGTATCTTTTATATTTTCACTTATTTGCATTTTATGCAATCTTATAATAGGTATGGCAGCATTTTTAAGCTGTCTTTTCAGATCATCTAAATCCACATTTTTCGGCAAGCCTCTAATGACTACTTTCAATTTACGCTTATTTGGATGGCCAAAGGTGTGATATGGTAATTGTTTACTTTCGAAATACTGAATCAAAGCCTTGTGATCATTAAATGTAAGACAAGTTATTTTAGTATAATATCTGCTGAGTGAAGGCTGATAAAAATTTATACCCATAGAAAGAAGTTTTCGGACATGATGAGCAAAGTCTACAGGTTTGTGTAAAAAAATGTGGGGTACTTTCAGTTTAACTTTTGGCCATTGAGAAATGATAGCTGGGTCGTGATCTTTCATAATGACCATTCCATTAGATTCATTTGAAAAAGATGCGATGCGGCACTCTCTTATTACATCGGCCAATTTTTTAATTTTCCTGTTCTGTTTTGGGGGCATTGTCGATCTGAAATACATGTAATTTCATAAGTTATAAGGCAACTATCGGTATAAATCAAAAACACATTTGGGCTAATTCAAATAACATATATTTTACAGGAGGTTGAATGACAATTTATACTTAATCATTATTACAAAATGGATTGCCAGGTAATGTTATCGTTTTTAAGTAATTATTCTTACTTACGTCTCCTGCAGATGTGAATCAAGGTTCCAGACTAATTCAAAAATAAAAACAAAACGGGGTAGATAATTTTTACGTATTTTAAATTTAAATCAACTTTGAACTTAATGACAAAATGGTAGTGATGCCATTACATAAAAATAATTTATATTTAAGGGCCTCTTAATACATCGTAGTAAGCATTATCTCTACTTAGTCTATGGTAAACATATAGTAAGATATGCTGAGATCTATATTAAACAATGTTAAATAAAATTATTTTACTTTGTTCTACGTTACTAAAATATTCATAATTATTGTAAGGTAAGGCAAGCTTTGTATCTACATGCATCGGTCCGTTTAGCTATTGCATCTCATTAACACTGAATCAAATCTACTCGTATGTACTCTGTCTGTAGTAATTACAGAAGCCTAATATTCTTCTGTGGTCGTAATCACTGAAGCGGAAAAATAGATTTGTTTTTAGTTTTCCGCGGTCGTACGTAATTATAATTGTTTCGTGTCCATCGAACTTGGTTCGGGCCATGTGGACCGAAAGCACCGGAATTCATAGATAATAAATTTATTTAAAGAGAAGATAGAGAGTAGTGAGTACCCTCAAGCACCATCTATATCATTAAATTCATTTCATCATCATTTAATTCGTATAAAAACATAGATACACATTTCCTAACAAATATCTGTCTAGAAAGTGTCGTCGACGTGTGACAGTCGTCGAGATGTGTTAAGTCAAACCAAAGTTCTAATTGTCTAAACGCAGATTTGAACTTACGCTCCACATAAAGTACTTTTTTAAATGAAACAACGTGCGATTTTGAATCTTTTGGGAGGTTTGGAAAAAATATTACAGTAAAATTTTTACAATGTGCGCGCACACCGACGGCCAAAAAGCGATATGATGAAGTTAGCTGATAAGTGTTTGTTGCCATAGTAATCTTTGTTATTGTCTGACAAATGATTTATAATATTATATTCTTTCCTTAAATTATATTTTATAAATATAATTTAAGGAAAACTAGCATTGTCCGCGGCTCCACCCGCGTTCAGATGACCAAAAACCAAATTCTTAGGTTTTACATATTAGTATACTCTTACATTTTTTTTTATACTATTCTGAATTAGTGCTTGACTACGTTCCACCTGATGGTAAGAGGTAACGCAGTCGTAGATGGTAAGTCACACTAATTCAGTAGCCACCTATTCACTTTTGCCTTGAAGACACCCATGTTGTAATCGGACGGAAACACCGATGCCGGCAGGTTGTTCCAATCCTTAGCCGCACGTATAATGAATGACATTGCGAAACGCTTGATCCGGACGGGTGGAATGTCCACGACATAAGGATGGAGACCAGCCGTTCGTCGGGTTGTCCGATGGTAGAAAGGGGATGGAGGAATCCAGCCGTGTAGTTCCTGCGCACACTCTCCGAAATGTAACCTATAGAATACACAAAGGCTGGCAACCCTACGTCGGTGATCGAGGCTTTGTAAGTTAGCTTTTACCACCAATGCAGTTTTTGTATTTTTCCTCGGAAATGAGATATTTTCCTGCGATAAAAAGTATCCTATATGTTGACTCGGATAACCAGCTACTATCATACCAAATTTCATCAAAATCCCTCCTGTGGTTTTTCCGTGATGTGGTAACAGACACACAGACAAAAATTCTAAAAACTGTATCGATTGTAATCTGTAATTCGACCTCTGTATCGATAATAATGTCTATTTCAAAAAGATTTTCAAAAAAAAAAATTTAATGTACAGATTCGGTTTAGTTACAATTTTATTATATGTACCTATAGATAAACTGAAGTGTGACATGAAATCATAAATGTTATTATTAACATATTATGTTGAAGTGCAATAATCGTTATTCAATAAAAAATTATGTTGAATGTACATTTTAACCCTTATTTAGTACAGTTTAGCCAACTGTAAGATAAAAAAATATGCTAAAAGTTAAAACCATTTTAGTTTTGTATGAGCCATGAGGCAAATGTTTTTACTTTAAAATACTTCTGTTATATTCAACGTAAAAGTGCTTCTCGCATACGATCACTTATGGCATAATACTATACTAGTACAGATACCCCCAGATACCACATCCCATACAAAGAAATTGGATAGCGCTAATTCGGCCTATTCTTCGGAATATTTTTATTTACTTGCTCACATAAAAGATGTCCTAGAACCGCAATTTTGTGCTTTTAAAAAAAAAATCTTCCAAGAATATTGAGTGGTATATAAAAATTAAGGTTTTTAAGAGACGATCACAAAAATATTTACAACTTGTAGGAAATTTAGGATAAAAAAATATTATATTTAACAAATATCCAAATGTCCAACTGGGCAAAACTAAAAAGCTGTTAATAAAAGTTTTATTTAAAAAATAAAAAACCTAGCAAGGATAAAACGTGTACCTAATGCGTATCCGACTACATAACATCACGGTAATATTATGCATTACATTACCGTGATAATATGTTCCTTCGTCAACTTGTTTTTTTTAAAGTTCGTTTTTTACGCAGTCGGGGTTTTTTATAACTATGAAAAAACCGGATATTCTTTCAGTGACCCACCCCACCACCGTCAAAATGTTTAGTTGCCGCGATCGTTAAAAAATCACTTTGATTTTATTAAATAAAACTATCTTTTCGGATTATTTCGCGGATTTATTTTGATTTTTGGTTCCCGACGTTTCGAATGCTTTACAGCATCCATGGTCACGGGAGAGACTGAGGTGTTACATGTCTTAAAGATATAGTTGTTACAGACAGCCTACCCACAATTAACACAATACATAATTAACACAATACTGTAACAACTATATCTTTAAGACATGTAACACCTCAGTCTCTCCCGTGACCATGGATGCTGTAAAGCATTCGAAACGTCGGGAACCAAAAATCAAAATAAATCCGCGAAATAATCCGAAAAGATAGTTTTATTTAATAATGTCAAACATTCGCGTAAATCTAAGAAAGTATTAATCACTTTGATTGTTCTATATGGTTTGTCTATCTTATATAGTCTGAGATTGATTTTATGTGTTTTAGACATAGGATATACCTATTAATAATTTTTAGCAAAACGGAACCATTTTGGATTAAACGGATCAATTATATGATGTATCTATAGGTCTATAGGTATATAGAATAGTCTAGAATAAGGAGATGCAACACATTGTTCTCTAATAAAAAAAATCCTCACTTGTATCAGAAAGGAAATGAATTTCCTTTTTAATTAAATACATTAAAATTCTTATAATGTACGGAAAACTCTTTCACGTGAATCTGACTCGCCTTTGACCAAACTTTCATGATTCTCTTATCTTTTTTTATAATGTTTATATTTTGCAGCGGTTCGAAAACGAAAATAGCTATAGATTCGGCCTCTGTATCGATAATAATGTTTATTTCAATAAGATTTTTCCAAAAAATATTTTATGTACAAATTCGGCTTAGTTACAATTTTATTATATTGTATATAGATTGAGTAATAATTCCGGATGACATTTATCTCTTTTTTGCATATTAAATACATGACTTTTTTGTTACTTTTTTTCATAACATTTTATCGTGTTGCATACACGATAAAATCTAGTGATTGATAAATTGCTTGCCAATTAAAGTTTTGTTCTTGGGATGTTCATTCAATATTGCTCGTTGAAAAAATAAGACGGATTTTTTAAAGTGTAGAAGTCAAATATAAGTAACAGTCCTTTGTAAAAACAGTTATATTTTTAACTAAGTAACATAAGGTAAATAGGTAGCAGAACAGTGTACATATATGTTTAATTTGTGTATATAATTAATTTTTATTTCAAATAAACTCTAAAGAATTAAAATACCATTTTCAAAAATGTCTAACAACTTTGAAAAGAAAATTTTTAATGTTCATTGTACAATATAAAATATACCGTTGGTATTGTATCACTTAACGTCTTTTTATCAACGAAGACACTGCAAGCTGCGCAGCCGGCCTCAGCACGTGCGAGATCTTGCCATCGGCCGTTACATCAATCTTGTCTACCTTTATCAATTTCGTTTAGCCTTATTCATACAGATGTTACGGGAAAAAAACCTTACCTTAAACAGAATATAGTTTTTATTTGTGGAGCGCCCAATGACGCATCAAGCCGTATGATCATAAAGCTTTGTAACCGTCGTCTGTAGACAATGTATGCGTGGACAATGCAGAAGCAACTGTGCTACATTACTTGGATTTATTCAAATGTTCGCGTATAGTAAGTTTTAGATATTGCGCGTTGTAAAAATGGCAACGGACGTAGATACAGTTGAACCCTTTTTTAGAATGCTGGATTGATTTATCTTTCACTGTAGGGATGGATAGTGGAGACTATACTTTTGTACACGAGTTAAATGGTTTGTGAGTAACTAAAATGGAGTAAACAAAGTTATAAAATGTTGTTTCCAAAAAAAATATTTTTTTTTATCAGATAAAGCTCTTTTATTTTTATTTTGAGGTAATTTTAAAACCGTTGTAAATAAAAAAAGAAACTTTATATTTAGTTTCAATCTAAAACCAGAGGCAATCAATGCGCTTGTTGATCGGTATTTTTTGTAATGTAATACATGTATTTCATTTTATGACTATATATTTTGTGTGTAAAATATTTAGTAGGGACATATCTGTACGATTTATCGTATTTATCAAAAGCTAGCTACGTTTTAATGTTTAGCTCAGAGATGAGATATTTTTCCGCAGTAAAAAGTATCCTATATGTTGATCCGGATAATCAGCTATCACAATACCTAATTTCATCAAAATCCCTCCAGTGGTTTTTCTGTGATGCGATAACAGACAGACAAAAATTCTAAAAACAATAGATTATGCCTCTGTATCGATATATAATATATATTATATTATATATATCGATATTATTATCGATATATATACAATATATATCGATAATAATGTTTATTTCAATAAGATTTTTCAAAAAATATCTTATGTACAGATTCGGCTTAGTTACAATTTTATTATAATATATATAGATATACATATATATAATCTTTTATTAACACGTCATTGTGTACTCGTACCGACATTGACACAATCCTTATGTTTTCACCAAGATGTAATGAGGGTGTCACTAATGTTCATAACGTCATCGATATATTCTGGCACGCGGTACCCGCATACATGTCCTTTTTGATGATATCAAAATACAACGCGTTCGGCATTCACTTAACAACTTTATCGACGTTCTAATAAGAAATTTTATAAATGATATGATATTCATTTTAAGAACAAAATAAAACCGCACTTTGTTCTTAGTTTGCAATTATTATGTTCTTCTGTCTATTTCACAAGAACATTTATTTTGAAATTTATTAAAATATTAAGTAATAGTTTAAAAAAAAACCTAATTTCAGATTTCGTAGAAATTTTTTATTCATTAGTAGCGGCTCACCCTCACTTCGCTCGGGTTCGTCGCTAGGTACGTTTTACGAGTAAATAGTTATCAATAGTTATTAGCCAGCGTTAGCCTTATAAAATTTAATATATTTTTTGGGTTTATTTTTCATTTTTTCTCTTTATTAAAACCTTCCATGGACCTTAAGGAACATACGAAAATATTTTTCAGCCGAATTGGTCCAGCCATTCTTGAGTTATGCGCTTACCAACATTAATTTTTATTTATATAGATTTACATATTACAAAATATAGCTTACTCAATTTATTAGAGCATTGTATCAGAATAGTTCGTATGCATTAGCTATTGTTGATTCACTGTGGGTATACTGCAGTATGCGGGTGGCACGCGACGTAGCGAATTTAGTACATTTGCCCCTATGAGAGGATTAATGTAAATTTGTGGGATCGTAATGCTAACATTAAATATTACAGAATGAACCGTGGGATTATCTAATCCTAGATAATAAATAAACAGCGATATTATGCTACTCTATATTTAACGTACACCTAATGTGTTAATTTTTATTCGTTCAACGCTAAATTAAATAATAGAACTGGAACGATCATATGGACAATTAATATTTAATTTTATAAATCAATATATAACTTAAATATACTATTAATATTTAAATTTTAATCAAATCTAAACTATATCAAATCAATTTACCAATGCCAGGCAGCGGGTATACGTTGAATAGTGACAGTTAGATGGTCGCAAAGGAGCTAGCAGCGTCCGACGCTTGACATATTACTCTTAGCGGCCGTTCCCTCGACATTTATATTCCGGATCCGAAGACGAGATTTAAGATAATTCTTTTAAAATAACTCTTGAGATGACGGAAAATTCGATATCAATAGATCTCATTTTATTATACTCGTAGAAGTAAAAGGAAATAAATGAGTGACGGTTTTTTATTGCTGTCGAATTTTACGCAGCAGCTTATTTTGCTACTAGCGACTCACCCTCGCTTCGTTCGTCCCTAGGTTGATTCCCCATACAAACTATCATCCCCATTTTCACCCCCTGAAGGGATGATTTCCGCGATAAAAATTATCCTTTGTCCTTCCCAGGATTTCAAACTATCTTCTTACCAAATTTCATCTAAATCGGTTCAGTAGATCCAAATATTACCCCCTACAACGTCACAAACTCACAAACTTTACCTCTTTATAATATTAATATTAGTATAGATATGTGTTTTGCTAATTTTTTGTTTAGTCAAAATCATCCACTTTTTTTATACTTAACAATTAGGTACTCGTTATTTAATGATTTAGTTTGCATAATGATTATTTACACAAGATTCTAAAATGATAAATTATATAAAGAGGTTTTTCGGTATTATGTATACAAACAACTAAAGTATATCTATAACTATTTTATTCCGCATATAAAAGAACGCATCATGAAAGTAGGATACAAAAACACAAACACTTTCTTAGTGAAGCAATCTTTACTCGCACTGTAATGGAACTTTTTGTTCAGTTACAAGGAAGCGTCGAAATTATGCAATTGCACTGTCTGGCGCCGGCAGATGGTGAATAAAGGCAAAATGCTCACCTTGCCGTTCCATTCCCACGATATCAGCCAAAAGGAACCAACCCCTGTAAAATTCCAGATTCATTATGATAAGGACGTAAAACCTTTGCAAAAAAGTTGGTATTGTCGTTAAGAATCTTCCGCGTTGCTTTAATTTTTATTAGACCAAAAAAAATAACTACTGTAACTAGAATTTTAATTATGTTTACTATTTTAGGAAGAATTCCATTACATGAAGTTATGAATCTAGTCCAACCGTTCAACAATAAAATATGAAAGTAAATGGTTACAGTAATATCTACAAGGTACCTTAAATGTTGTAGTGGAGTTCTAAAACGTTTTAAACACAACACAATAGTTAGGTTTTATTTAATGTATTTAGGTATTTGTATTAGGTATACGTATACTAACAGTTTTTTAAAAATTGTTTTCCCACACAATACTATAAGTAAACTACGGTTTTCCATCGTAACTCGTGTTTAGGTACCGGATCTATAGAGGAATCTGAGAAAATTGGATTCCAAATACTTTAAAGCTTAGACGTCGTTATTTTATATTAGGGTTAGGAAAATATTTCACAAAAATAGTACGTCTCAATATGCAATAAAACTGGAAAACGTATGCGACCTCAACACAAGGATTTCGTGAACACACCTGAACTAGATTACTACCCCCGAACTATAAAAAAAATGTACATTTATCGTACCCGTAGGATAAAAGAATTTGAGAGGGATCTTTTTATATAACAGATGGTCGTGCCAACAAGATTTCAACTTAATTTGCATGAATATTTTCCCACTGATTCTTGAGGGTTACCGACAAACCAAATATTTTAATGTTGATAAAAACTTTTTAACAAAAAAATAAAAACCGACTTCAAACAAAAGCACTAAAAAGTAAAAAATAACTGATTGGTAGTTTTCATTTACTATACATACCTAATCAAATATTTTCGATGTCGGTATGCTTTGGCTAAGTAATTAAAGCGTACCTATTAAATACATACCTAATCAAATATTTTCGAAATCGGTGCCAGCCCATACAAAGCAAAGCACACCGACTTCGAAAATATTTGATTAGGTATGTATAGTAAATGAAAACTACCAATCAGTTATTTTTTACTTTTTAGTGCTTTGTTTGAAGTCGGTTTTTATTTTTTTGTTAAAAAGTTTTTATTTTTCCCTTTTTAGTGTAGACAGTAGTAGCAAAGTAAGAATTCTAAAGTGTTAGGCTTGTCAAACCAAACAATATAAGCCCAAACTCAAAGTATCTACTATTAGTCGTTGAAGAGTTCCACCTATCCACCTTCTGGCCTTACCATCAGATCAGGTCAACAATACCGAACCACTGTACTATCAACGGAAATAGAAACACTTGCAAAGTTTCAAGTCAATATGACAATTAGAAGTAGGTTAAATTCATTATTAGCTATTTTCCACCCTTAGGGGTGGTATTTTTTTTGAAATTTAAATGGGACCAATCTGGAAGTATACCCTTTCAAACAAAACAAAAATTGTTCAAATCGGTTAATAAATGACGAAGTTCTGAGGTAACAAACATAAAAAAAAAAAAAAATACAGTCTAATTGAGAACCTCCTCCTTTTTGAAGTCGGTTGATAAATACAGGAATATTTTTAGGTCGTATTTTGAAATTAGTTTTTCCGCGCGTTTTTGTAATGATAAACTTCTTGTAGGTAATCTAATTTTTACCCGACTGCGACAAAGCCCAAAGAAGGGTTATGTGCTTGACCTTTATTAATTAATTTGTAAATTTGTGGGTAGCAACTGTCTGAATATAATATACTAGCGACACACCCTCGCTTCGCTCGGGTTCAGGCCGGGGTCAGAGCCGAATCTATAGATTTTAGAATTTTTGTATGTTTGTCTGTTTGTTTGTCGGTCTGTCTGTTAACCCAACACGGAAAAACCACTGAAGGGATTTTAATGAAATTTGGTATGATGATAGCTGGTTATCCGGGTCAACATATAGGATACTTTTTACTGCGGGAAATTATCTCATCTCTGAGAAATCTATACTAAACGTTAAAACGTAAGCAGGAACGAACCCGAGGGAGAGTAAGGCGCTATTATGATATAAAATCTTGTCAATTATATGATGTAAAAGCAAAATTTACCAATTTTATAAAAAATAATATTATTTTTTATAAAATATACATTTTTTATAACTAGCATTGCCTGCGGCTCCGCCCGCGTTAAGATGACCAAATATTAAATTCTTAGGTTTTACATATAATAAATGTATGTAAAACCTAAGAATTTAATATTTGGTCTTTGGTTTAATAGTTGGTTATAATAAATATATAGAAATGAGATATTTTCCCGCGGTAAAAAGTATCCTATAAGTTCACCCGGATAACCAGCTATCACCATACCAAATTTCATCAAAACCCCTCCAGTGGTTTTTCTGTAACAGACAGACAGACAGACAAAAATTCAAAAAACTATAGATTCGGCCTCTGTAACGATAATAATGTTTATTTTAATAAGATTTTCCAAAAAATACTTAATGTACAGATTCGGCTTAGTTACAATTTTATTATATGTATAGATAACTGTCAAGATCAAGTTACATATTATATTTTTGTTTATCTACACAGGTACTCCTAAAAGCTTGTAAAAGAAGGGAACAAGTTAACCAAGGAAAGTAATACTATGCAGTGGGAGACATAGGTATATATACATACACGTAGCAAGACTCGCAGCAAAGATAAAACATGTAAGTACTATCCGTTTATTTTTAGAGATTTCGGAGGATTTTAGAATTTAGCTAAAAACAAAATCTATGTACATTTTATTTCCAGAAGCTTAATATTAAGTTTTTATAAATATATTTTCTAGAATTACGAGCATTAAAGTAAGATCATTTACGAAATACTTAAAGAGAATCCTCTATAAGCACAGGATTTGTAGGTAAGTTCAACAGCTGTTTTGAAAATGTCACTAAGATTCCCTCGGGCTATACCAGAGGCGGCTTAAACCTCTAACTCTTATCAACCTCCTTAATACCGCTCGTCCATCCTCTGAGAGACACCATTTGTAAACATTTCGGCCTTATTTAAAATTTTGGCTAAGTAGGTATTCAAATATTCTTTGCCAGCAACAAAATCTGTGGATTATTTTATTCGTACCTACTGTTTTAATAATTTATAAGGTCTACGTTCTAGACTTTTCTGATAAATTATTACTTAAACTTAAATCTTCTTGTAAAAAAGTCTTAAAAATATCACTACTTATTTTTACCCATTTTAAATAAAAAAGGATGTCAATTTCAGAAACGTTGTATGTTATTACCTGTGTGCGTATTTGTTGAATCATCTCCATACAGGAAGCTAATTTTAATTATTCGACGCCGAGATGTAGCGTGGACTTATATATTTATTACATAGACGTGGGCGAACTCGCATCAGAAAGGCCCCTTTTCTTTCGTTCCCAAGATCTACCCAATAGATCTATCTTTCAAAAAATGCTTTGACACGACATACCTACTCATGATAGTGAAAAATATAAAAGCGCGGTGGCAGAATATTGAAAAGCATATAGATTTGATAAAAAGTTTTATTTTGTAACTCGCATGATTTAATTTTTTACAAAAGTAATGTTCTTCGGCTTTTTGCTTTACTGAAGCGGTTCGACCTTAACACTAGAAGGGTCAACGCCCGTGCCGTCAATTTGACCACAAGACGACTTTGACGACGTTATACTTAGTATGATAATGGCAACATTAAATAGTACTAGTAATTAATAAAGTTTATTTTAAAAATTGTAATATTTATAACAATAAGAGCTAAACTATAATAAATAAAATTGTTATATTTAATTATAATACTTATTATTTTTTTTTTTAATGTTTAGAATTAAAATCAACAAATATTGTATGGTACTTTGATGCCATTTTAGATTTTTTTGAAATCTTTTTTGTAAAATGGTGCGTCGTAGGCACTGTCACTGTGTGACAAGTATATAACGCCTTTGAGACGTCTATAACTTACTTAGTCTCTCCCGTGACCATGATTGCTGTAAAGCATTCGGATACGTCGGGAACCAAAAATAATCCGAAAAGATAGTTTTATTTAAAGTAGATATAAATTATTAAACGTATTATAGGTATTTCTTTATAGTAGGGGAGCCCAAGAGGGGATTTTCTGTAATTACTCGAGCGCGGCAGATTAACATAAAAGAGGTTACCTTGCACTCTATTGAGTACTTTCACCACAATATAAGTCTTCTATATAAAGGGGCGCGTCTAGGGAAGCCGATTAAAATATTTAAAAAATGTTTTGATAAGATAGAAATACTTGAAACCGTCATATTAAGGTGTGGTAGGCTAGTCACATCCTGAAAAGTGTCCAATTTAATAATCTGCCGATTTGCACAAGCCTAAGAGGCAAAAATCATCATAAACTTTATAGTCGACTTTACTTAACATTGATATTCGATAAATTGTAAATAAGTATATTTACATTATTTAAAAAACAAAATGCACATAAAATATGTTTTTTACAGTATAATCTTTGTTAATAAAATGGGGTGCCAGGATGTAACGTAAGTGCTATTTATAAAGTATAAACATGTTCAGAGTTTGCTTGTAAAGGTATCGCGTAATAAAGTTGGCTCGACCCCGTTCTGGGCGTTTAATATTAAAAGCTTACCTCATATCGTTACCTACACGTAATGTACGTCCTTTGCAATCTTTCCGTTGTTACCGCGACCTAAATCTGCTTTTGTCCCTTATGAAAAGATCCGAGGGCAGTTAGCGAATGTATGCGTGAATAATTGAGGAGCGGCGCTCCGTCTTAGCGTAAAATCTTAACTAAAGATTCATTGAACGTGAGCACGGCTGGTGTGCACGTGTTTCACACATACAATTTTCCCCCGTTATACATTGAGATTGACTTAAAATATCCTTTACATAGTGTAGCTATTGATTTTTCGTTCAATATTTTATATTGTCTAAGCCACAATATGTTGGACTATGGACACATTAAATTTAATAATTTAATATCTACGCCAAATAGGTGAAAAATCTTGTGTATTCTTGACGCTCTCTTAATAGTAAAGTGTACT